GACTCGAAAGACCAAATGTTTAGTCAAAACCCAAGCAGTTAGCCAATTCGCTTAGCGAGTTTGCAAATTGGCTGCCCCAATACTTCTGAGGCTTGCTGTAAAACTTTAAAGCAGATGGATCATTACCAGCGCACACACAGAAATTGAGTCCTTAGCAACGATAATAATACACAAAAAACACAAAGGATTATGGGTAATGTCTATTTGTAAACAACTTCTACATTCATGTTTTTTTATTTCTTCAAAGACCATATTTTACTCTTGTGTAATTGGGGGCCAGAGACCTATAATGCAAAATCATTTTACAGTGTACATTAAAATTTATTTTACATTGTATTCGTTGTACGGGATCCAGAATCGTCAAGCACAATGCAGAAATCAGGCTCCTCTGAAAAAAATCCTGATCCTGTGCATATCAGTTGAAAATGTACACATCACAACTTTTTTTGGGTTTTCAGGAGAAAAAAACAAGCAGCCTATCGGCTGAGATAGCTCCGCTGTTAGCAATGCACAATTCAATTACAGAACTGAAGACGTCATTAGAAAATGAACATTATGTATAGTATCAAAGCAATCGGACTTACAGTTTTTAACAAGAAGTCGAAAATATCACTTTCTACCAAAAATGACAAAAATATTCACCAAAATTAGAACATTGAAGATATCATCACGAAATGAACAAATCTGAGAAAGGTCTACATGTAGTATCTATATATGTAATATCAAAGCAATTGAACTTGTGGTTTTTAACAAGAAGTCGAAAATATCACTTTTTACCAAAAATTACAAAAATATTCACCAAAATTAAAGAATCGAAGATATCATCACGAAATGAACAAATCTGAGAAAAGTCTACATGTAGTATCTATATACATAATATCAAAGCAATTGAACTATTGGTTTTTAACAAAAAAGTTGAAAATATCACTTTTTACCAAAAATTACAAAAATATTCACCAAAATTAGAGAATTGAAGACATCATCACGAAATGAACAAACCTGAGAGAGGTTCACATGTAGTACCAATATATATAATATCAAAGCAATTGGACTTGCGGTTTTTAACAAGAAGTTGAAAATATCACTTTTTACCAAAAATGACAAAAATATTCACCAAAATTAGAGAATTGAAGATATCATCATGAAATGAACAAATCTGAGAGAGGTCTACCCAAGGTACATACATATACACGAAGTATCAAAGCATTCAGGCTTGTAGTTTTCAAGAAGAAGTCGAAAAAGTAAAACATTGACACGGACGACGACGCCGGACAATCACTCATATGATAAGCTCCGCTCGACAAAGTCGACAGCGGAGCTAATAAAAAGCTGCCTACAGGCATCGCTTTTAAAAACAAAATGACCAGAAACATTTTTTTGTTTACTGAAACTGACCGTGCTTGTGTGGTGCTCAGTTGAATCACTTACTTGGTGCTGGAACTTCCTGGGATCTCTGGCACTGACTGGTACAACACTACCATATCTGAGTCTTGCTAAGGAAAAGTGATCACATGACCAATGTGCAAATAACTTCATTACATATGCACACAGAAAACAAAAAGATATAAAACTACTAAAAATCTTTTTTTCCTGAATTGAAAATACATTTTTTTCCCACAGATGACACACTTATACATGGTGATACAATTGTTCATAATATAATTTGAAAATGTTTATCAAGGATCGAATCACACAGTTTATAGCTGTGTATACTGGAATCTAGTTGCTGTGACGACGAGGGCACTAGTTACAGAGTTCATCTAATAACAGTCTCAGGATTGTGAAAATAGCCATTTCTATGATTCTTAAATGTCACACACATCCTGATATTTTCTGGAGTATTTACTTTCCATTATTATATATCTAGTGCCAAAAACAATAACAATTTGTGAAAAACTGCACATATTTTCTTTCATTTGTCATGTAATGAAAATGTCAGCAGATACAAATCTCATTAAACTGACTTTTAACTCTCAATTATAAGAACAATCAATTAAATGAATTTATAAAGTATTGTTCAGTGGTGTTTTTATCAACAAAATACTGTCTCTTTACTCACAGTTTGATTTACTTTCTGTATCTAAACATTAAAAGTATTAAGAAAATTATATTTTTCATTTGTTCCGAAATTTCACTTATGCAATTTAACTAGCACATATACACAGATTTCTCCAAATCAGGTCAGATGTTCATAATACAGCAGCTGTGTACTGTGTAAACAATTTATTGAACATGAGTTTTCAGATCCGGCTGGTATTCGACTTAATTTTAATAGTAAGGTGTTCCACACAGATAAGGTGCTGCTCACAAGAAAGTCTGAAGTTTGGGATGTGTAACAACCATTAAAAAAAATTGTATAATAACAATAATGTTATCACAAGAATAATGCAGCTGACTGTATGACAATGCATTATGGGAGAATAATTTATATTGATAACAGATATAAAAGAATATTATTTCAAATATTCAACAAGATACTCTCTGGTTACTCACAGTTTGTTTTCACTTTCTGTATCAAAACATTAAATATATCAAGAGAATTTGATTTTTCATTTTGTTCAGAAGTTTCACTTATGCAAATTACCTAATTCTTGTATACGTGATAGGCGAATTGCTCCAAATCAGGTCAGTTCCAAGCTTTATTCGCGATCTATCCAGTGGTTCTTGTGATAACACTGGGACAAGATTTGACACAGACAAACAAACAGACAGACGGACATTGTAATGACATTACCTCCCATTTGTGCTCTGTATTACCTATCTCACTCCATCATGTTAGACCCAGAAGACTAAGGATACACATGTAATTCTCTGACAATAGACACACCACCTTTAAGCTCTGGTCTAAATGTCTGATCAGAACATTTTCTCAGTCTCAACAAGCCAATTAATATATCTTGTTCAGGGTCTTCATACGATAGGAACGTTTCCCATCCACCATTAGCTACGTAGTCGCGTCTGATGAGTTCAACCTGAAAAAAAAAATGGCCATGTAAGCATAAGAAGTGATTAATACCATACCTCCCTCTCAATTTTATTATCATTTAAATGTAGAATATTTCTTCATAAATTAACACATAAATGATTTTAAAGCACAAGGGAGGAAACAACTGATGACAGCGGGATTGTTTTATTTGAGGGGCTCAAGCAGACTAAGTAAATAAACCACATTAAATGTCAACATTAAAAAAACATTTATATCTGGCTACCCGGTCAGTGCTGAACAATGAGGGAAGGTGGTCATCACGCAGCAATGTATATTTGACACGTTGTAAATGTTGCTATGGAACAGTTATGGAACATGGTGTCACGTTATGATCATTGTTTTTAATAATTCTTCGAACACCAAAGTCAACTTTTGTCGCTTTTAAAATTTTTTTTTTTAAAAAAAGAAAAGAAAAAAGATCAAGATTACCGGTACTCTGAACACATTAATTATTTTCATTGATTAGTAAGGTCCACTAAATTGTGTCGAAGTGAACATGTAAAATAACAACAGAGCTCATTGTTTCACTGCCAAGAACTTAAAATCAAGTGAAATTGCTCAAAACATCAAAATAGAGAAATCAGATGAAAATAACTGGTTTTACAGTAACATACTTCTTACAAGATTCCAGGTAACCATAGATCAATCAAGGTCAAAGTCACACAAATGTGATAGAGTTTTTTTTCAAAACTGATAAAATATTTGACCTTGGAAGATAATGGTTGCAATGTATTATTTTACCTCGTATGGTTTAACTTTCTGATGAATTTCTTGAATCCCAACTTCTCGAGTCCTGACATCTCGACACTTTGTACCGAGGTCCTTCATCCTAGCAAGAGCTAGCTCTCGTAAATTACCGTGTTCAACCCCAGAACTCACCAGTGGCATTGGAATGTCTCTAAAATTAGAAAAACAGAACTCAATATTCATGTTATATGAAAACCAAGCAAATATTATTTTTTTTAAAAAACATAACAACCATACAACAAAATATACAAGTTAAAGAAGTGATAGAACTAAGTATTTGTTCATGCTTTATAGAATGTGAGCACAATCCTTTTTCTAAAAAAAAAAAACACAGTTATATTAGCAATATTTAAAGTTAAACCAATCATTGTAGTGTTCAGAATTCAAAACTGATGGAATCATTTCAACTGATAGAATCATTTCAACTGATGGAATCATTTCAACTGATGGAATCATTTCAACTGATGGAATCATTTCAACTGATGAAATCATTTCAACTGATGGAATCATTTCAACTGATGGAATCATTTCAACTGATGGAATCATTTCAACTGATAGAATCATTTCAACTGATAGAATCATTTCAACTGATAGAATCATTTCAACTGATGGAATCGCTAACACTAACCGAGGAAAAAATAATGGTTTTTAAAGAGGCAATAATGAACTGGCATATATCACTCATAAAATACAGTTTAAACACAGCGTTTTTTTTATGGTGTCATCATTTTAAAAAAAAAATAATTGTCATGATTCCAAAATAGTACTAAACATAGAACTGATGTAATGATGTGTCATTCAGTGTATGAATTATCGTAGATACAACAGGGAAAGCATGCACAGAAAATAACATTTTCAACTCCAAATATGTTATATTGCTGAAACTTTTCAGTGATTTCTTGTGAATCCCATAGAAGAATGACTTAACAAATCCCTTGGTTCAAAAAACAGTTGTCAACAAATTTGTTTTCGCTATTTTAGTTTTGTTTACTTATTTGTTTTTCTGAGGTGAACATCATTATGAATAATATCCTTATTACGATCATTATGCAATATTATTGCAGAATTTGAAGCAACTGCTACATTGTTACAATTGTTTTCAGTCTGAGCGTATTTGTCTTATTTGTGTCTGACCCCTGACCTTTGAACTCTGTACACCCTAGTCCATGGCGGTACCAATGCTAGTATCCTAGCAACCAGATCAACCAGAGTACTTGGAGGATAACTCTTGTAACGTCCGGTCTTCCAGAGTTCATATAATCCAGTACCTCGGATAACTAAAGTTGGATATATCTTCATTCCATCTGGTCGGAAAGCTGGATTTTCAAAAAATTCCTGAGACCGCAAGAAATATAAAGCATTACTATTTCTGACACCTCAATCATTTGAGCGCCATCATTTTTTTAGCAAAATATTGAATATTTTTCAAAATATTTTTTGATAATTTTGGACCAAATGGACATAATTTTGTATTGGTGACAAATCTTGATTAAAATTTACCAAAAATTCTGAAACAATTTGGTGGGTTTAAAATTTGTGAATGGTGACAAAAGTTGACTTTGGTGCTCAAATGATTAATGATATGCAAATTATCTAATTAATATGCACATACAATATATACCGGGGGTAGAACTATTTTGTGAATGATGACAAAAGTTGATTTTGGTGCTCAAAAATTTAATGATATGCAAATTACTAATTAATATGCACATATGATATATAGAACTATTATGTGAATGGTAACAAAAGTTGACTTTGGTGCTCAAATGGTTAATGATATGCAAATTACTTAATTAATATGCAAAGACAGTATATAGAACTATTTTGTAAATGGTGACAAAAGTTGACTTTGGTGCTCAAATGGTTAATGATATGCAAATTACTTAATTAATATGCACAGGCGGTATATAGAACTATTTTGTGAATGGTGACAAAAGTTGACTTTGTTGCTCAAATGGTTAATGATATGCAAATTACCTAATTAATATGCACAGATGGTATATAGAACTATTTTGTGAATGGTGATAAAAGTTGACTTTGGTGCTGGAAGGGTTAATGATATGCAAATTACCTAATTAATATGCACAGATGGTATATAGAACTATTTTGTGAATGGTGGCAAAAGTTGACTTTGTTGCTCAAATGGTTAATGATATGCAAATTACCTAATTAATATGCACAGGACGGTATGTAGAACTATTTTGTAAATGGTGACAAAAGTTGACTTTGGTGCTCAAATGGTTAATGATATGCAAATTACCTAATTAATATGCACAGATGGTATATAGAACTATTTTGTGAATGGTGACAAAAGTTGACTTTGGTGCTCAAAGGGTTAATGATATGCAAATTACCTAATTAATATGCACAGATGGTATATAGAACTATTTTGTGAATGGTGACAAAAGTTGACTTTGGTGCTCAAAGGGTTAATGATATGCAAATTACCTAATTAATATGCACATATGGTATATAGAACTATTTTGTGAATGGTGCAAAGTTGACTTTGTTGCTCAAATGGTTAAATGATATGCTAATTACCTATTGCACATATG